GTTTTCAATCAATAAGCATTGAAGCTAATTAGTTTGTATCTTGCTCGCGTGTGCAATGAAAACCCCAAGTGCTGTGCCCCACCAATATTCTATTATGCATGAAAATAATAAGATTAAATAACTATTTTATCTTATTATTTATATGAATATGAGTTATTCGGATTATATTGATATAATAAATGAAGTAGAAAATATAGAACGGGTTGTCATAACTGATAATAGATGTAAAAAAATATGTCATTTTATTTTAGAATTAATTAAGTTTTTGATACAATATATAAAAAATATAAATATTAATATAAATGCCAAAAAAGAAAACCAAAAAGAATAAGACAGGTTTAAGTGTTTCTTCAACAGAAGATAGCGGAGAAATTGTTAAAGAAACATCAGTATTTGAGATTGCTTGTCCTATGTGCAAAAAGATGTTAGAACTTAAAAATGAATTAGAAATAAAAAAATAATAAAACATGTAAATGTTCATGTATTCCAACAAGTTTCAAAATAAGTAAAAATGATAAGAAAATGAATATTGATAAAACTAAAGACAGTATCAACTTAGAAACTGATGTCCATAGTATAACTTTGAAATTGGGTAGGCAAGCAACACCATCCGATAATAATGAAAACGAAACACAGGAAACTGTTAAACAAATGATGAAAACTTAGTATTTAAAGAGTAGATTTAACATAATTGCACTTTATAAATTGTATAATTAAATAAATAATTATCTAAATAAATATATAGTAATGTCTGAAAATGAGAATTATACTATTAATGATTTAATGAAGAAGATAACATTAATTGGTAAAAATATCAAAACCTTAAATGATATGATTAAATCCATTGATGACAAAATGAAACCAGTTGAACGCAATGAAGATAAAGAAAAAATCGAAAAGATATTTCAAGCAAAATCTATAGGAAGACCATCGGGCGACTACCCTACAAAGCAAAAGAAATACTGTGATATGTTGAATACAGGAAAAATCAAACAACCAAAGCAACAAACATTAGAATTTTATAAAATTTCAAAAAATGATGATGGAGTATATGTATTATTTGAATAATTAATATCTAAGTAATTCTAATAATATGAATTTATTAGAATTATTTAGCGGAACAAAAAGCGTCGGAACCATAGCAAAGTCGCTTGGATTTAATGTAATATCATTAGACTTGAAAAATGCTGATATCAACACTGATATTTTGGAGTGGGATTACAAACAGTTTGACAGAACCCATTTTGATTTTATTTGGAGTAGTCCCCCATGCACTGAATACAGCATAGCAAAAACTAGGGGAATTAGGAATATCGAATATGCAAATAATATTGTCTTAAAAACTATTGAGATTATCAAATATTGCAATCCTAAATATTTTGTAATCGAAAATCCACAAACTGGATTATTGAAACATCAGGAGTTTATGGATGAGTTTGATTTTAAAGATGTTGATTATTGTAAATATGGATTTAATTATAGAAAGAGGACTAGGCTCTGGAATAACATTACAACTTGGAAACCTAGAGAATTATGTAAAAAGGATTGTGGCAACATCAGGAATAATAAACATTTTGAAACTGCACAACGGCTACCATCAGGCGCTAAGGAAAAATGGGGTGACAACCAACAATACAGAAACAGGACGACCTATATAAAATACCTAGCGAATTAATTTGTGAAATCTTAGTGAGTTTGATGGATTAAGGATTTGAGCTTGATATTGGAAGTATCAGGTGGGCGATACTGGTAGTATCAATTGAACGACACTGGTAGTATCATTTGAACGATACTGGTGGTATCATTTGAATGATACTGGTAGTATCATTTGAATGATACTGGTAGTATCATTTGAACGATACTGGTAGTATCATTTGAACGATACTGGTAGCAGTATATAGCTTTACCATACTATAATAATAACATTTATACCCTTATATGTTATAATTATAATATATTCATCGTTTGTAAAGATTGAATTATTATATTTTCCTAATTTGTTTATGTGCTTTGACTGTTTGGTTTTGAGTTTGCATTGGTAATTACGGGTTTTACTGGTAAAATGTATAAAGACTTATTAGTATTATATATTATCATGGGTTTGCGCGATTATCTTTGGAGAATAAATACTAGAATACCTGAAAAGGAATTGGAAGAATGTAAATATGATTATCAATGTACTAGGCGCTTGTCTTGGAAAAAGGTTAATGACTTTGGAGTTAGAAGCACTGGCCGCATATATAGATATTGTATTAGGTGTAGGGAAGTTGTGGATAAAGCGAGAATGAAAAGAATTGAGAAAAAGGACAAACAAAAACTATGTAATGAAGAATATGATAAACCAGTTGAAGAATAAGGTTGAAACAAAGATTATTAAAGGTGGAAATGTGTTTTAGTCATATTTTTAAGTCTGAGTGAAAAATTCGTGAACAATGAATAAGGTAAAAAGAAAAAATGAAGAACAACTGGAGTTTCTGAGAATTGGAAAAAGACTTAAAATACAAAATGACTAAGGGTAAACAAATAGTAAAATGAAATAGGTTAAGTAGTGAAAAAATAATGGATAAGGTGTGTATCTTTTCTAGGAATTACTTAGAATGAATAAGGTTGTGATTTACTAACCTTATCTATTATTTGATACTTGGTTTTTCAATGTGTTTTTCATTGGTTGATAGAAAAAATACAGAAATGATTCTCAGTTCCTTCAAATCCCCTTTCTGTATTTTTTTTGGGGGGGGTTGGGGGTAGGAGGGGAAGGAGAGGAAGGGGAGGAGGGAGAGGAAGGCCGTGAACCCGTGAATCTTGTCAGGCAGTGTCAGGTATCAGTTTCACGTGAATTCGTGAAAATCCGAAGCACCCAATACACGTGAATTCGTGAATCTTGTCAGGCAGCAGTTTCACGTGAACCCGTGAGTCTTGTCAGGCAGCAGTTTCGCGGGCAGTTGCTTAGGGTTTTGGTGTTGTCATGCGTGTTTTGGGTGCTTCGGATTTTCACGAATTCACGTGTATTGGGGTGCTTCGGATTTTCACGAATTCACGTGTATTGGGTCCTTCGGATTTTCACGAATTCACGTGTATTGGGTCCTTCGGATTTTCACGAATTCACGTGTATTGGGGTGAATTCACGTGTATTGGGTCCTTCGGATTTTCACGAATTCACGTGTGTTGGGTCCTTCGGATTTTCACGAATTCACGTGTATTGGGGTCCTTCGGATTTTCACGAATTCACGTGCTCGGTCCTCCAACTCTTCCATTTTTCCAGTCCCCTTACAGCCTCTCCAGGCCTTCACGGGTTCACATGAAGCTGATGAAGCTTCTGCTTGCCAAGGTTCACGTGAAACTGAAAGGTTGCGATGCGAGCTGTTTTGGCTTGAATCAGTTTTGGTTGTCATTTTGAGTGGGATGGTCAGTATACTTCTCGAGAACCTACACTCTGGTACAGCGCATGCCTCAGATGATGGCACGAAAGTTCGCTGCGGTGTGCTTTGGGCTCATGTGAAGCCCTTTCCCAATGACCTGCATCACGCCAAAAAGAAGTGCGCGAAGTGCTTTCCACCACAGAAGGATCAGCAAGAAGAATCGGAGGAGCAGGAGAAAACAGTGGCATGCGTTGTTTCCGTGCCAGCTTCTTCAGGCACGGACGTGCCGAACCATTCTGTGGATGAAGGACGGGCCCTTCAAGTCTGTCGAGACTTAGAAGAGCCCAAGTATTCTCTCGAATTTGAGAAGGTCGACGTGGCCGAGATCACCAAGCACTTGCACCTGGCTCATGTGCGTCGGACGCCAGAACTTTTTGACACCCTGGTTTCGCTACGAAAACGGGCCTTGAAGATCAACAGCAAGGGAGAAGGGCAATCCCAGTGTGCCGTCGCATGACCTCCACACCTCCTGGCAGTCTCTTGGGGAGATTGTATGATGGGCTGGCGATGGAAGAGCGTGAAGGGGAGAGGCCAAAGAAGCAACCAAGGACCACACCCAATCCCTGGGGACATCTCCCAGAGCCTGTGCAGCAGGAATCGCCCATGCTGCGTGAGCACCTTGTGGGCCGCAGTGCCGCCAGCTTTCACAGCTTCGTCACTTCCGTGGCCTTCCACAACATTGGCAAGCATGTTGCGCGCATCGTGAACCCGGTCTGGAGCATGACCACGGCCATTTGCGAGCACCTGTCTTTGGGCGACCTGCCCAGAGAGGTCCGTGAGATGGCATCAAATCCGTGGACGGCGCGGATCTGCAAAGCTTTCGACCTGAGCCATTCTGAGGCGGAGGAGCTGTTCGAAAAGGCTGCGATTGGAGGAAGCGTTGTGAACTGGCTGCAGAAGCACCGTGGCAACATGCCCCAGCAATGTGAAGAGCTCCATCGCTTATGGGCACTGGAGAATGCAATGCGAACGGTGCACAAGGCGGTGCAGAAGGAGGTTTGGCGTGAAGAAGGGAGTCCCTGTGTGCGGTTTCTGCGACACACTCAGCACCCAGCTGCTGAGGCCTTCTTCCACGTTTACAGCCACTTTGAGCGGATGCGCATGCTTCAAATGCTCGGTTGCTGGAAACGGCGTGGTGAGCTACAGGCACCATGACATGATTGTTGATGCTCTGGATCCCTCGCGTGTAGTGGCTGAAGTCAATGCAAAGTTGTTGAGTTTGAAAGGCGTCCAGGTGGAGACTGTCCCTCTTCAGGGATCGGGAGCAGCCGCGCAGCTACTGAAGATTGATGTGAGCACGCCTGCAACGATGTATTGGGAAGAGTTCTTTGCTCTTCGCGCTCAATGCTTGGAGTCATTGCAGCAGGGCCGTGCGCGCAGAAAGCTTGAGCTCTTTGCCAGGCTGATCGCGTCCACGCTTGAGGGCGTGGTGCGTGTCCCGCCACAAGAGACCGTGAAGCGCCAGGTCTTTTGACCGGCCCGATCAAACAGATTCTCAACGGCATCCTTCCTGTTGACAACGGCACGCTCACCAGATCCCTCATTGATCATGTCTTCCATGCTTGTCTTTGCGGCCCGCGGATGAAGCCCTTGGACTCAGATGAGTGTCGGCACAAGCTGCTCTTCGGAGATGGCGTTGTCTATGACTTCAAGACAGGCGAACATCGCCCTGTACAGTCAGATGACCGCATGAGGCTGGCCATGGCGTGTCCCTTCAAGCTGTGGGTCCCTCCGCCAGGCGCCCCTGACATCACCCAGAAGCTTTGCAATTGGCTGCCCCGGGCACACGGGGCGTTGCAAGATGACGAGTTGGGCCGGGAGATCCTGGCTGACTTGCAGCAACTGTCCAAGGAATGTGCTCTTCTGAAGCTCCTTTTTGAAACTTTTGACTGCTGGCACACCACGGTCCATTTTCTCCGCAATGTTGCTGTTATGGCCAGCGCAGCAGCCAACTTCAACTTCCTGAACTGGGTCACTGGGGCTGGAGGAGCAGCCAAGGACACCCTCTTGTCCATTGTCCTGACAGCTTTCGGGGAGGAGGGTGACCAACTCGGCTTTTGCGAGATGGGCCGCAAGCTCACAACAGCAGTCGACCAGCGCAACAGCGTGAACCCGGTCTTGGACGCCGTGCGCGGAAAGCGCTTCATGTGGTTTTCCGAAGCACCAGAAGCAGGGCTTGTCACAGACTTGCCGAAGATGTTGTGCGAGCAGACTGGAGCAAGCCTCAGAGCCGGGAAACGCCAGCAGCTTCAGCAGTTTCATCCCATGGGCTTGATGTGGTTCACCTCCAACTTTGCCCCAGGCTTCAGGGATGGGGGCATCCCCACGCCTGCAGATCTTTGAGTTGCCACACGCGTTCATTGGGGAGAAGGTTGACGGCGAGTTGCTAAACAAGATTAAGAGTGGCGAGTTCACGCCCCAGCTCATGTACTTTGCTGTCCAGATGTACAAGACCTTGGGGCCTGACCTCAATCGTGGTGATACTTTGGTGCCCATGCCACCAAACATGGACGAGATCACTAAGGCAGTGATCTCGGAGCAATTTCAAAGGCGCGGGACACTGAGCTCATTTGTGTCTGAGCGATGCACTCAGGTGCAGCGTTCAGAAGCTACGCCAATCCAAGACTGGCGACAGGCTGCAGCAGAGTACCTGGGCGTGTCGTATGCGGGAATTGGGCCAATGATGGCTCCCAGTGGCTTGAAGAGCAAGAACCGCGGTGTTGGCAGTGGCCGCATTGTGACCTTTGTCAATGCCCGAGAGGCAGGCGGTATGTGCGCATTGCGGCTGCTCAAGCCTGAAGAGCGACCAAGCTCATCATCGTCAGGGAGTGTGAGGCGTGAACCCAGTGAAGATACCACCAAGAAGCGTTTCAACCCTTTTTGTAGGCAACTTCAAAGCGAGGAAATCCTTTGTGTCCTTGTGTACAGGCGGGACACGTGCCGATTTTTAGCATGTGAGAACATGCATACAGATGGAGATGGTGTACATACACCATGTGTTTTGCACGTTGTGTCTGAAGGCAAGACCACGCCTAATTCGGGAACAGGCGCCATTCAATATGCCAGCCAGCTTGCTGTTCTGATTGAGGACGCGCACCGTGGTTGCCTCGGAAAAAGGATGTCATCTTTGAGCCAAATATCAAAACAAACTTCATGCCCAAGCCGGCATTGACCAAAACAGAATGAGCACAGCGGCAACGGGGGAGGAAATGGCAGATACTGCATCTTCACGGCAGTCATGCTGCAGCTGCGCACAAACCGCAAGCTGAGAATGAAGGGTCGCTTCTCGCAGTTTCGTGGCTCAGAGTGCAATTGTATAGCGGTCATAGTCAACCTCATTGAATCACGATCAAGCTGCGGTCAAACAAAATGACGTTGGAACTGTCAAAGTTGCTTACATGTGTGGCCCTGTGTTTGAACCGAACTTAGGCTTCGTGCCATCATTGCCACATTTTGCACCCTTATTAATCCCTCCAGGCAAGCTGTGTATTTCTTTCGGCACGCATCCCAGTTGGTCGAGCCTGACCAGCTTCGAAGTTCGATCGAGCTGGCCGTGCGGCTCCCACCATCAAACCGCAATCTTGCGGACGCGCTTGGTTTTTCCATGCGGATCTTGAGGCAATGGGCCCTGGGTCCTGTTCATAGCTCCAGCCTTCGGAAGCCCTCAGGTCGCAGCGCTTAACGCTGTAGTAAACCACAAGCCGCCGAGCGGAAGGTCCCTCAAACCAGTTGGTTGAAAGCGCGGAGGGTTTCCCTAACCACACGTGTCCTAAAACACAAAGGTCAAAGCAGACAAACTCCAGGCGTTGGTTCGCCATGCTGCTGCAGTCATGTGTTGTTGTCTGCGTGCAAACTCACTCTCTCAGAGGCAACTTTTCTTGAAACGCACAACGTATTTGATGGCCTTTGGCCAAAGGGGAGTAGCAAGGTTCCAACTCCGGCATTGATGCCTCCACTCTGTCCTGAGACTCTGGAACTTCACCACCCCCGCTTTTCTCTCACATTGCATCTGTCATCCGCACTCCGCTTTCATGTAAGCATGAAAACTCTGCTGAGATACCAGGGCGTCAACTATGTTGCGCTCAAGCCAAAATATCCGGAACTGAACCCTACCCACCCACCGCTTGCGCCAAATGTTGCACCAACACGTTTGTCGCAAACTGGACAGTGACATGAATTGTTTTGAGACGCTACTCTGTTTGGCACAAAGATAGGTTTATCAAACTTGTTTGAAAAAAACCCTGTTTGTGTCACACGCTCGCTGGTTCCCCCCCCCCTGCAAAAGATTTTTGGGATGCGCGAGGTTTTCTCCCCAACCGCACTGCGGCTGTTCTTTTGGGGCGCCCCCTAAATGCGCGGCATTGTGCTACAAAGTTTCCACAGCTGGAGAGCGTTTGTGCTTTGGCTCAAGTACTACAAAGTTTCCAGCTGGAGAGCGTTTGTGCTTTGGCTCAAGTACCAAAGGTTTGAAGGCGCAATGGCACATCCTGGACTGGAAGCTGTCCACCCCTGTGTAGAGGGATATGAGGCCTCCACCCCAACCTGATGCGCTGCCAGACCTGTTGCTGCGCCCCCAGACTGTGCCAGACATCATCCCTGCCGTAAAGCCCAATGCTGTCCTTGTGTTTGTGGCGCCCTTGCTCTGCCCTTGCTCTGTCACCCAAGAGAAGCTGATTCATCCAGCTAAGCATGGTGGCCTTGAAACTGTGCATCCGGTACTGCAACATTTGAAAGTCCTGCATGCCGTAAGCATTGAGAAAAGCTCGAAGGGCCTTAGTGCACTGCGCAAAGGAAAGCGGGGCGAACGCCTGTCCATCCCATGTAAAAAGGAGGCAATCCGGTTCGGTGGATTGGCCGAATGCCTCGCGAAGCTCTTGCCACACCGTGCCCATCAGAACAAGCCAGTGCGCAACCCAGAACGCATGCGGCATCTTGGGGTGACTGGATGCGAAGCTCAGAGTGCAAACCCACCCTGTTTTGGTACGGTAGCACGATCCCCTGATGCACTCTCCGTCCATGATGACGGAAGACCATTTTATACGCTGGGAGTCTCCAAACCGGAAAGCAAAGCAGGAAAGCTCCAGCCCACAGTCGACGCTGCCTCGAGGATTCCTGTCTGAGTATCATCACCTCAAGGAACACCGCGAAGCCAAGGGGGAGGGGCAGAGCCTCCCTGCGTTCGTGCCGAGGGAGCTGGGAGGCCAGGAAAAGGCCACCATACAGGTCCCCTAGTGGTAGCTGAAGCAGTTTGGCACCCCACCGCAAAGCCTTCAAAACGTTGGTAACATCTGAAAGACCCTTTTGATCCGGGGGACCCTCATGGTCGTTGCCAATGCCTACGGTCAGCAAAGCATCCAAGACCTGATGCTGAGGTGGCACCACATGACTGCTGAGCTGAAAACCCAACTCCCCGAAGGTGTCCAGGAAGAAGGATAGGCTGGTGAGGTACCTGACGGCTGTGGTATCGGACAGGCGTTGCAAAAGGTTGTGGGACTTCTGGGATCGAAAGACAAGTAACTGAGTTTCATCGCCTCGACTGGGGGCGTCGGCAACATTCACCTCGGTAGGGACCCGGTGGATCCACGGATCGAAGGTCATCCGTTGCTCAAGGCGTAGGAAGTGTTGGACAAGCTGGTCGGCCGCATGGTTGTCGCGGGACATGCGAACGAGAGAATGAAGTGCAGCTTCGTTGCCCACATGAAAGAAAATGGCCGTGCCTGAGAGCAGGTCTGGCCAGAGGTGAAGTGCCACCAAAATGGGAAGGATCTTGAGGTGCAAAATGCAGTGAGATCCAAAGGTCGCAAGAACTGAAAGAGCCGGGGGCTGAAAAGAAAAGTGAAAGCGGGGTTGCCCAAAGAAGTCCACGAGGACGCCTCCTATGGAGGGCTTGGAAGCCTCCAAGGCACCATCTATGAAAATATGCCAAACGAGGCGGTCCTTGCTGCTGACTGCTCTTGGCATGGAATGGACAAGAGACTGCAAACAGCGCTGTAAAATCCTCACAAGTGATGGAGGGGCTCGAGAGCCCGGTGCCAGGGCAGAAAGCTCATGTAAAGATGAGACTTGCCACTGACTTGAAAACCCAGTAAGGTGAACAGGGACTTGATCAGGTGCGTGGCAGCGTTGGCGAGCGGCTCGGGCACCACCGTCGGGAAATCGTCGTAGAAGCAAGTCAGGGCAGGCAAAAAAGGCGAGTGCCAAGTGCATGAATGGCTAAGCTAGTAAACCGAGGCCGAGCTGCCAAATGGCATGGTCAGCATACGGTAGCACCGCGGGCCATGCATGGGCTCGTACACGCAAATGAATGAGTGTGCCCGCTGCGCAGGCGCAATTGCCAGCTGACGGTATGCGTCTTGAAGGTCGAAGGCGCGTCCACGCCAGGGCACTTCATTGTAGCTGCAACATCTTTTGAGCAAAGCAGCGATGAAATCCGTGTCATGCAAGACGACCTTATTGGCTGAACCGACGGCAGAGTTCAAAAGATTGAACGTAAAGTCGTCAATAGGCCGGCACTTCTCAGACTGCAAAACATAGAAACGCGGGCTGATGACGGAAGTTCTTGGCACGTCCGGGGCCAGGAAGGGCCCATCGAGCCAGCCCTGCTGCAACTCCGTAAGAGTAGTGTCAAAAAGTGTCTGGTCAGCTGCTGGATCATCTGTAGGCTGACAACGCGCCAAGGCTCGGGTGGGGCCATGCGCTCTAAGGAGGCAATGTCCACCGCAGGTGGTTGTGGATGCCTGGGCAGCTCCATTGACTCAGGTAGCCACCCAAACAATGGGAAGCCGGCAGCAAGCTCGTCAGCGATGGCTGTGTCCTGATAACCAACTGACTGCAAGGCGTGCTTGAGCAGCACAGTACGCTTCTTGGCGTTGATGCGAGCAACATGCGCATCGCACGAGGCGAGCAGCCGCTTCTGACGCGGAGCAAACTCTTCGGCCAGCTGAAGCAGGGATTTGAGCCTCACTGCCCACAAGGACAGGGCATCATGTGTGGTACATGTTGCAACGAAATCGACGGCCTCCTCCAGAAATCGGCCAAGAGGGGGCAACATGTTGGCCGGGCGCTGTACTCCACTCATAGCCTGCATACACTGCACAGGGTCCTTGGGGCAGGCAATTCAAAACTGACCTTGAGCAGCTTCTGGCGGGTCAAAGGTAGCACTGAGCCCTTTGGCCAAGGGCCTGCTGGTAGCCGCTTGCCTCAAGGCCATGCCGTGTCGAAAAGGTCCTGCGATAACAATTGCAAGTCAAAGGGAGAAGGTAAATTTGGAAATACCCACGAGCGAGGCTGGAACTTCACTGCAGCTCGAAGAAACAGCGCATCACCCCGCCACTGCGGCAGTG